TTGGGCCCGGGACCGGCCCGGGTAGCCACCGGGTCCGGGCTGGGCCTCGGGCCTCTTACATTTTTTTCCTTTTTCTAATCCCCCAAACCCTCCAAACCACCCCAAATGGCCCAAAATACCTAGCCCAACTCGGGGAATTTAAAAATAGTTGAAAAAAAAAACCGGGCCCGGACCGGCCGGGCCGGTTCATGTTTTGGGTTACTCGATCCCGGACCGGAAACCCCTCGGGTCGGGCCTACCCGGACCGGTCACTGGCCGGGCCGGAACGGTGTCGGTCCCGGGCCGGTTCCAAGTCGGGCCACCCGGCGCGAGTCCATCACTAGTTATGATGCAAACGCTTAAATGGAATATGACAAATTGACAATTGGTTAATAGGAGAATAAGAAAGTAAAAACAAATGAGGTTGACTAAATAAAAATAATCACTCTGTACTAAATTTAAGAGAAAACCTCAAAACAGTCATGTAGTTAAAGTTTATTGAGTATAAGTATATTTATTACTTTGTCAATATTTCATATTAGTGATGTTCAATCATTCAGTTGTGACGGTTGTATATATAATCAGTTGTGACGGTTGTGTATATAAGAAGATATTCCAAAATTGCAGATATCAATCACATACAAAGTATTTTTTTGAAACCAAAAAAAATCCATCCATAATTTATATGACAAATGTATATAATAATAAACTTCTCCTTTTGCAAATTTTAGTAACAAACTGCTTCTGCACATATACGCCCAATTTATTTGTGTCACAAACATATACTCTATTTGTTACGAGTATCATTCTTAAGACGAATTGTGTATGCTACTGACAAAAAAAATTCAATGATTTCTTTTGCCGTATTTTGGTGAGTTGGTTATATTTGTGGGTTGATTAACAACTCAAAAGGCCCAATACTTAGCAAGAAGGAAAAAGGACAGTAAGTGGATCGAGTTCTATTAAGTATTGAGAACGATTACAGCACACCCTACTAAGTCGATCACTGAGCCTCTAATCTAAGCCGTGATTACAGATGAATGAAAAAGGCTAGAGCTAGTGAGTACATGTTGTCAATCCCTAACAATGAAATAAAAGATACCGCCTCTGTTGTACTAACAATGGTACAAGAGGGAGTGACACACATACCAATAAAAGTGAGTTTATGTTGTTGGTATTGAATTGATAAAGTAAGAATGATTTAGATTCGCACAAATTTTACTAAATTTGACACTGGACAATATTAGTGGAACGGAGGGAGTAGTATTTATACTACCATGGGATAGGTGGTAGTGATGATGTGGCGAACCTTGAATGACTAATCATCCAACCACCAAATATTGTATATCAGGTGCATTTAATACCGTTTCCGCCAAAATCCTCACTTTCCCATCAACAAATCTGAGTCTGCTAGGTGAGGTCTCTATGCTTGCCGGTGTAACAGCCCAAGGATGTGGTGTCAAGCGACGCGTGCCGCCCATGCTGGGCCGAGCGACCCCAGGGCCTTAGAGGGTTTCTGATTCTCTCTCTCCACAGGGTATTGGGCCGAGCGTCGCGTGCGCGCACTCTTGTTTCTTCAATTTTGTTCGTTGTCTCTTTTCCCTGTCTAGATCTTTTAGCTTCTTTAGCTTCTTCGGTTTCTCCTTCTTCGCGTTCGAACGTCGACCTCCATCGTCGGAAGACACCATTTTATGTTTTTAGTTCCGGGCTCATAAAAACGAAATAAAATCGATGCAGCGAAAGAAAGTGGGCAAGAGGCGTTGGAATGAACGCAACAGGCACATGTGTGGCATCTTATTATTTAGGGAAAAAATAATAAAAATTATCCCAAACTTTGAGGCAGTGTGAAACAAACACCCCAAACTTGCATTTGTAATTTAAATACCCTAGATTTTATATAAAAAATGGTTTTCGCACCATTTTAATGTATTATTTTTTTCAAAAAAGTAAATTTATGAGGTTAATTACATAATTTAAGATAGAAAAGTAAAAGTGTTGCAATTATATAGATTGGGGGTAATGTTATTTATTTCGCTATGGAAGTTTAGAATGTTAATTGTGCATTCATGAATTCAAAAAACAAATTATGCAATTAACACCATAAGTTTACATTTTTGAAAGAAATAATACGTAACTATGGTGCTAAAATAACTTTTTATTTAAAGTTTGGGATATTTAAATTACATATTCAAGTTTAGGGTGCTCATCTCACACCTCTTCAAAGTTTGGGGTATTTTAATTATTTTTACCTATTATTTATATTAATTACGCCAAATAACACTAAACATTAACATACAAATAAGACTAAAATCTAAATCTATTATTTATAAATACGTCAACACATTAATTACTACTCCTAATCTAATCATTTGCCATTTTGTCCCCCCCCCCCAGTTCCCATGTGCAACTGGGTCAGTCCATTGCTTGGTGTTGGGTCAGTTCGGTGATTGTGGCGGTGTTCGGGGGACTTCTAGCGACTAGCAACGGTGGCAGGCGGACTGAGGAAAAAATATCTTGAGTTTTTTGCCCAACCAATGCTGTGGAGGTGGCGGCGATTGGAGAACAACAATTGGAATTGAGGCGGCGGCAGATGGAGCTCCGGAGTCAGGCGGTGGAGGGTGGCAGGTGGTGACAGTAGAGGGATTAATATATGCAGGCCATTTTCATCCAATCACAAAAAAAACTCATGTTTTGGATATTTTCAAACTTCTACTGCTATTTATGATTTTGTCCATGTTTTGCTCTTATTTTGATAATTCATTCCATTATTTACATCGCAAAAAAACGATGATTTTCGCAATCTGGTTTTTATTTTAGAAATGGCTCAATATGAAAATCGTAAACTCAGCTAGTAGAGTATCAAGATATTTTCATTCAACATCAAGCTCCCTCTATTGAACATACGAACTCTGGAATTGAGTATACAAAATTGCAAAATCTTATTTGAGCATCAAAATATTTTTATTATCTTGTTCTCTTCTATTGAGCATCAAGATGATATGTATTGAGCATTATAAGAACATTTTGTAAATCCAATTTAATGAAAAGGTGAGACGAGACGATTGGCGAGGTCTGTTCTTTCGCTGCAGGGGTGTGGCTTCATATTTTGAAACAAAAGAACAGAGCATTTGGGACAGATGAGCGTCCTCAGTTGGAATTGCAGGGGACTTGATAACCCGGCAACTATTCAATGTCTGACTGATCTGGTGTCTTTATACCGACCGACGATGGTTTTCCTTATGGAAACAAAGGTTCGATGCCAGCGTGCAAAGGAGATCCTGCGGACGAAGGGTTTTACTAATTCAGAGAGGACGGACAGTGCAGGATGGAGTGGGGGGGTTGGTCTTGGGGTGGAGAGAAGATGCCGAAGTGGAAGTGACAGAGAATGATCAAAACTTTGTGGACAGCCGGGTTGTACTGAGAACTAACGAAGTGCCATGGAGGTTAATGGGCTATTACGGCTTCCCTGACACATTCCGACGACGAGCAGCGTGGAACATGATGGAGGAGAGTTGGCTGCCGGAAACAATAGCCCATGGATGATGATTGGCGATTTTAACGATATCCTGTTTGATTCGGAGAAAAAAGAGAATATCCCACACCCTCCATGGAGAATCCGGGGTTTTTGAGAGACAGTGGATAGTTGTGGGCTAAGAGATTTTCCTTTCTCAGGTTACCAATGGACATGGGATCGGGGTAAGGGCACGACTCATTGGATGGAGGAGAAACTTGACCGCATCCTTGTTAACGATGCATGGTGGGATATGTTCCTGGGGGCTCAAGCTGCTTCGGTGGAGGCTCCGGTGAGTGATCATATGACGCTTCATGTGCGGGTAAAATGGCATCTCTCTGAATGGTAGGAAAAAGTTTTTTAAATTTGAGAACAATTGGATCAATGAGGAGGAATGTAGGGTGGTTGTAACTAATAGTCGGGGGGACCAGCCAAATGCCTATAAATCAAAGAATTGGTTTTTGTGGTAATGAATTGCTCAGATGGGATAGGGGAAGAAGGAGGGGATTCCGTCACCAAATTATGGCGTGCAAATCAAGACTGGCCTGGTTAAGGGGCAAGGATGATCGGGCAAGTGTATTTGAATTTTTACATGTTCGCTCAGTTTTGCAGATTATCTGTGATCGAGCATTTTCGTGTTCATTGTTGCACTTTTTTTGGGGGTACCGCAGGAGGGAGGCCAGCAAATATATTTGGGTTTGCCAAGTCTGGTGGGATGCAGCAAAACAGCTATCATGGGGTTTATCAGGGACAAAATTTTAAATAGGATAACAAGCTGTAATAATCATTTTTTATCCAGAACAGGTAGAGTTGTCCTTTTGCGTAATGTGGTGCAAGCTATGCACATGTATGCTATGAATGTGTCCTTGTTACCACGGGACCTTTGCGACGAGGTGGAAAAACTTTTGAACGGGTTCTGGTGGAAGGGAACAAAGTTTGAACATAGAGAAATATGGTGGCGGGGAATTGCTTTGCAAACCGAAAGGTATGGGGGGCCTAGGGTTCAAGAAAATGAGGGAATTTAATCTAGCGATGTTAGCTAAGCAGGGTTGGAGGATTATTACAAATCCGGACAACCTGATGAGTCGTGTCCTAAAAGCTAGATATTTTCCATATATCAATTTTTTGAAGGCATCTCTTGGGAATAACCTGTCATATATTTGGAGGAGTATTTTTTAAACCCAATGTGTTTTAAAAGCAAATACTAGACGACGAGCAGACAATGGGAGGGAGATACAAGTATGGGCAGATGCATGGTTCCCGGTCCAGGGGGATGGGAAAGTAAAGTCTCCCAGACCCGTTGGGATTGCCGATATGAATGTGGCGGCATAGAGAGATTGTACGGGGGGAAATGGAAACACGGAGAGAATTGCGAACATTTTTAAGAAAGAAGATCTATATGCAGTATCCCTATCAGTCTAAATGACACGAAGGACAGAAAACTGATGGAGCAAAGAAAATAATGGCATCATCTAAGTTAAGAGTTTCTATAAAACGCTTAAGCAAGGCACGGAAGTAGGGTGTTGGGGTGGATGGAAAATTTTGTGGGACCTAAAAATCCCATCGTAGGTAAAATATTTTATTTGGCAGGTACTGGATGGATCTCTCCCTTCAGCTATTAACCTCGAGCGGAAGGGGGGTACCTATTCCGAATGTGTGCAACGTTTGTTCCCACGGGGAGGAGACAACGGAGCATGCTCTAAAATCCTGTCTGAAGGCGGCCGAGGCTTGGAGGGCGGCGGGAGTGGCTCTCAGCAATGGGGATGAGTCTTTCGAGGTATGGCTTCAAAAACTTCTTTCGGGTCCGAATAAAGAATTGAGTTGTAAAGTGGCTATGCTAGCATGGGGATTATGGAAGAGAAGAAACTCCCTAGTTTGGGAAGATGAAATGCAGGAGACGGCCAACTTGCTAAATAGTTGTGCATGCATCTTCTTGCGTGGAGGGAGGCCCGGTGGGTATGAAAACGGTGGGCAGCAGTCCTGGCAAAGGAAATCCTGGGTGGAGCAAGCCGAGAGTAGGTTACTTGAAGGTAAATGTGGATGCAACATTGGATATTCAGGGGGAGAAGAGCTTGGGGATGGGTTGAAAGGAATGGGCAAGGGGCTTTTGTCAAAGCTAGAGGCGGGTTAGTGAGAGCCGATTGAAGTCCAGCAGAAGCGGGAGCAATGGGGATAAGAGAGATGCTTTTGGTGGCTATGGCAGAGGGATGGGAGAAGGTTGAGCTGGAATCCGATGCACAGGTGATTATTCGAGGTATTCATCGCAGCGATAGTATTGCTTATTTGGACCTGATTCTTGATGACATTCGAAAATTAATTCATACAAAGAGTAATTTTTCTATCTCTTTTTGTCCACGATCTGCAAATCGTGTAGGTCATAATCTTGCTAGAGTGCACGTTTCTCTCTCAGATCATAGAAGTAGTTAGTTATGATGTTATTCCGGATTGTATTGTAAGCCAGCTGGCTAAGGATCTTTTGAATTAATAATATTGCTAGTCCCGGTTTCAAATAATAATAATATTATTACATAAAAAAGTTAAGTGAGTAGCTTTAATATAATATTAAATGTGATAACTCTATCATTCATGCATGTTATTGATTATGTGTGTGTTTATATTTCTTATACACAAACAAAAAATTACTAAATATATTTATGCAAAAATATTGACAAACTATAATTCATGTCTCCGACTAGTTCCCACTTCCCGCCTAGGCTCCCGTCTAGCCGCCTAAGCACTAGGCGCCCAACTAGCGCCTAAAGCCTTTTAAAACATTGCATTTACCAAGACCAAACAATGAAATTTAACCCAAAAGAATATTGGAATCCGGGAAAATGTTTACCCGGACGCTGCTATAATCTAGAGAACTTTCCCAAGGAAAACATACTTCTGGGAGACAAAGGGGGGCAAAGTAAATATTGTACTTCAATAAAGAGTGAAATGTTACCTATATAGTCACAGAGGAGAGAATGTAGAAGAGCAACAGAATTTGGAATATTAACTTCACACTCACACTCATAATAACAATTGGTGGGGGAGGGGAGTAAGGACCTCATAGATGAGATAACAAAATACTCAGAAAAACTATGCCAAGACTATTATATGGCTCCTCCTTATGCACCAGACTCCTCATTTACACGCCCCTCGTCAACTGCATCACCAAACGAGGCAGCAAGGTACTCAGCAAGGCTTTGCTCAGGCTTTAACATAACCACTGGGCCTTCTGAAACCCTAGCCTTTTTCGTACTGCTGATGGAATTCGGAAGCCATGATAAACCCTGGCTTGAATTTACTGCCATCTTCTTCCAAATGGTGGGCTGCAATTCCTTCCAAGGGTCTTCTATCATTGACTTGTTATAATATCGACATTCTCTACCACGTGCAGCAGCATTACTCCCTTGCCATCTACCACCCTTGCATCCTCTTCCAGAATCTTGGTTTTGATATGGAACCCGAGCTGAATCAGGCAGGAGACTACTCACTTTTCCTCGTCCATAACCATAACCAGGCCCACCTGAACCATGGTTTGGAACGTTATTGAATCTAACAGGATTAGGTGGGAAGTTGCTACTAGGTATGCCACCAGTGCTGCTAGACCAAACATTTGGATTATTTTCTGGTGGTGGTGGGCCCCTATAGTGCATAGGGCTGCCCCCTGGAGGAGGACTGAAGGCGTGGTGGTGGTATGCTGGAACATATGGCCGTGATGGCCTTTGGTTTGGAACGTAGCTTCCTTGGGAACGATAACCAGAAACATTTGAAAACGCCAATCCTGCAAAACCAGCCAACTTATAAGCAACAGTTATCATGGCCCGAACATAAATTTATTTATTGCGAGATCTGGGATAAATTTCATCAGAACCCGTCCTATAAGCACATAAACACGGTAGTGCTCGCGTTTTACGTCGCAAAAAACTCAGATACTTCAAATTCCCGTATCTGTGTCGTTTCCGTTTAAAAAAAATAAAAACCCCGTTTCTCTAGTTAATTCAGGTCCATTGGGAATGCAGAAAATGCTAAGAAAGTACACGAGAAATTTGGAAGGAAAGAAAACGGTGTGGAAAATAAAACATTCTTTAGAAGTTTCAAACTCAATTAATTTACTTAACTATTTGTTCAAACACATTTTTTTTGCTATGATACGAGTTAATAAATGTTCCATCATTTTCAATGGAGCCAAAATCTCGCTTTTTTGTTTGAGAATATGATGGAATAAAGCAAAATGGCTCACTAAACTGTCCGCGCTTCTTTGTTATGAAGCAGCGGTCAGTCCATGCAATTTATCGACGCGATTTTCACTATGGGTCATCCGGAAACCGTCTCTCTATGCTTTAGTACAAGGGTAAGACTGCGTACATCCGACCCCCCCCCCTACCCCACCGTAGGTGGGAGCCTTTGCGGCACTGGGGTAATGATGACGATGATGAATGATGATGACGAGTTAATAAATACTAAACAGTATCAACTAATCTAAAAAAAATTAACAAGGTTGGTCGTTTTTCATTTTTTCTTTGCATTGTTCATGATAAATCCAAACCAAGAAAGTAAGGAACTCATATTTGCTAGCAGTTTCCTTCCTTTCTCTAGTATTCTCTGGGACCCAAACACAAGAAAGTAAGGAACTCATATTTTTTAATAAGTGTTCAATAGCTGGGATTTCTTGATGAATTTTTTATGAGATTTCATCTTGTATCATTTCATAATGCAATCCTTTGCTGGCTTGGTTTAAAAAAGCGTGGCTGAGGCGCGCAAAGGCACGAGGCGCCGCTAGGAAATGGGCATATCCCATCCTAAAGACCCAGGCGGCCAGGTGTACCTCATACCTCACCTTTTGCTTCTTTTGCGCGTCTGAGAGGCGTCCGCCTCTGGCGCCTCTGAGAAGGTGTCCACTCATCTTTCTTGAAAGGCTTTTGGCGATTCACGTATCTAGTTTCACAAGTGTGTATGATTATATATTGATAGGGTGAGGTTCCCTGACTCTCAGAATTTCCGCCTATTGCCTCTCCTATGCTTCTGCTATCCTCCTCTCTTTCTTCCGCTCTTGTCTCGCGTTGCAGGTGACTTTTAATTTTTTTGTTTCCTATTACTCTTTCTTCTCTTTTTATCTTAATTTTTTAAATTAATAAATAGTTTAAATTATTTATATATAAATATATGACCATATAACAATCTGCCCTAAACCCTTCTCTCAATCACATAGTTTATCAATTTCAAATAATAATAATAACAATAATAATAATAATAATAATAAAGATGATTTGTATTAAATATATGACCATATAACAATCTGCCCTTCTCTTTTTAGTGTAAATGTTTACTTTAGCAGTTTAAAATTAAGCTTTGGAGTTTTAGGATTCAGTTTTATGATTGACTTTTGGCGTTTATTGTGTTTGTTGCTACTGTCTGAATCAATATTTTGTTCCTCTTAAGTTATTTATTAAGACTGTTTAATGGTTTAAGGTATTTTGGTGATATTGTCATTTTTTGAGAAGAGGGCTTCATTTAGAAGTTAGAACTCTAGAAGTACTTAAGAAGTAGTTTAAATATATTTTACAAAAGTTATAGCTTAAGTTGCGTGAGGCGTGCTCCTTCGCCTCAGGTAAATTGTCCCAAAACGCCTCATGCCGCCTCATGTCCCAAAATTGTGAATAATTTTGACATAGAACACATAGACTGTTTTAGTATTGGTTTGTGGCCATGTTTATATGTAAATAAATTGTGTGTGTGTGTGTGTGTGTGTGTGTGGAAATGATATGAACAGACACACACATATGACATATCTGAAAAAGAATTTTTAGATAAATCCAGATATTATTCATATTTACGCACTCCCCCATGTTTCGCGTCCTGTATTTTTTTAAACGTCATTTCCTGCACTTCACTTTTCTGTGCTACTTAGGAACCTAAGAATGGAAGAAGAAGATAAACACATATAGCAGCATCTAGAAAGCCTGAATGCGGTGAAAAGTTGAAACTCAAAACATGGAGAGTACATAAAGGAGAACTAAAGAAAACACAAATTTACTTGGTGGTCTGAAGTCAGGCTGTGAGACAGCTTGAGGGATATGGTTGTTCATCCTCTTGTCTGAAGAGTAGGCCGCCATGGGATCAGTATAGTAGTCAAATCTTGGTCTCAAATTAGAGATCTCAGGTTGAGCAGTCTGATCTTCAACCAGTAGTGGGTTGGCTAAGCCATGGACAGAGCTCACACCCGTAGTGTTCTCAGCTTCACCCTCGGTACATGCAGCTTCCATTCGCATTGCCTTTAGCCTTTCCCTCCTCTTTTCTGATTCCTCCATTATCTATTTATGCAGATAATAACAACAAAATCTCTCACTAATATGTTGCACAGATACAGGGTGTGGCACCTGTACAAAAGAAAGCAATAATGTCAAATTGTAAGTTATAGAACACATAATCAATTTCATTGCAGAACAAAGGTAAAAAGTAAAAACATTACCAGGCAATAAATACTGAGCAAAAATCGCCGACAAAAAGAGTGAAAGTTTAGAAGATGATACATAATAACATAATAAATGACGGGTAAGTACATACGACACAAAATGACAAATACAGTTCGTTTCAGAACTCAGAAATGGAATCTTAACCACAGATTAAATGTTCATTAACCTTAAACTCTTAAAGACATCTAATATGTGTGTTCCGTATTTGCATGACAGAAACAAGACATAGATTTTCTCTTAGACTATTCCATAAGGCCGGAAGTTGAAACAGCCAAGTATGAAGACGAAGAGGGTAAGCGATGAAATACCTGGATGTAGGGGCGGATCTAGCATTTCAAATTGAGGGAGGGACAAAAAACAATTATAGTATTCGAATTCAGTGTGTGCATTGTAGTAGAGGTTCTAGTAGAGTTTATAAATATGTAAGTTTTAGTTAAAAATGTTAACTTTAATATTAGCAGAACAGAGTCAGCTTTTCAAACACTAGAACCCATTAAACTGGAAGAATTTTTTTAGGTAGCATTTTAGGAAAATATCAAGTTGTTCTAGGCATAAATAATTAATTCATAACTGGATGTGGCGTCGTCAAATACAAATTCCAAGTGTACTGTAACGCAAGCAATTACAGAATTATCAAGGATAAAATAGAGTTCTGCATTAGCTGCACCTGAGAAAGTTTGCTTTAGAAGAAACCCTCAAATTAGTACTATCTTACTACCTCAAGAGAATAGAGAAGCTTAGAAAGTCATTACAAATCTCGAAAGCTATACTCCAGAAAGCAGAAAACAAAGCTATACATAGTCAGGCGCAGTTCCTACTGTCAATTGCGATTAAGTTGGGACTTGTGATTTGTGAAGTTCTTTTTATACTCCAAACAGAAATCATTTATTTCATTATAATATATATGAGGATGCAGTGCTCAAGGACCAATGACGCAATATTGTCATTTATTCAGTATAATCTACGGAGTATATTAGAGAAGTAGAGATCAACTACTACTTGTCTACTTCAATTTCAATTGTTTTCAGTATATATAAAAAACAGTCCACCCTTTCGCCTTAGATTTTTCAAAATTTCATTTTTTATTTTCTTTAATTTCAAAGAAAGGATTTTGGATAAAGAAAGGATCAGAACTTCAGCCAAAACGGCATAATTCTGCAAAAAGATAAATCAGAAAACTAGCACTTAAGATGAATGAGCACTTTAGCCATTCAGCAAACAGTTCTGAGCATAATTACAAAAAGACGGGCAATCTACAACTCCGGCAAGTCGACGAGTTCAGAAGTCTACGAGAAGAAGGAGAGAACAGTTTCAAAAAAGCCCGTGGCGTCTGCAGCGGCGGCCCGTGGCTTTTTTGAGTAGTGCGGCAGCGGCGGACGGACTCAGAGGAAGCCGGACAGGGCGCGGTCGGCGGAAGCAGCGGTCGCCGGGTCGCAAATATGTTGGAAGATGCGGAAGATCCGAGGCAGCTTGCGTTGGTAAGGGGCCGAAACATCTATATTATATAGTAAAACAGAAAAGTGTGGGGGAGTTTTGGCGGGATTTTGGGCGGGATAGTGCACCGTCTTTAAAGCAATTCTACGTTAGCACTCCTAATAGGTATTAGAAGACAACCGCACAGAATACTAAAAAAGCTTTATTGAGTAGAGCAATAATAAATGCTAGAGCAATAATTGAAGTAACTTTTTAAATTCCCAACTATATAGTATATACGGAGTACAATTTGTAGAATAATAATTGAAGTGACTTATAGAATCCCACTAAAACACAATTTTTACAAAACAGAATAATTCTCCGTAATAAATTGGAGTGATCTTCAAAATGACTATTGAAATTACCAATACCACATACTAGGTATTTATTGTCTTGGTGCAGGATAAGAGTATAAGACCATATATATGTATATACGGAGTAGTATATATAACGAGCAAAGAGCACACGGAACCATCATCAAGCTACTTTAAGCTACTTCAAGATGGAGAACTGTCAATGTGTCATTATCAAGTAAGTGGTATGAGAAGGCATGATTGTATCCAAGATTTGTATGCTTAAAAATAGGTATGTATTTGTAATATCAGAATTAGTTCTGTAAGAAGCGGGTAAGCAACTTGAAATAATATTGTTTGCAAGTATAAGAAACACAGATTGGATTTAAAATGTTTAAGAAAAAGTGGCAAGTCGCTATGCTCAAGTGAATGATAATGAGTCTTTTTCGAAAGGATAAAAAGACATTTATTACAACTATTACCTATGAAAAGTAAAATTTAGTTTTATTAAAATGAAAAGGATGCATGTTTAAATCTATAGTTTTTGTTTGATGTATGTAGGTATATAGGTTTCTATTAGCTTTAAATTAAAAAATACAGATTCACTTTCAGGCATCTTTTGAGAGAAGAAATATAGATTCACTTTTTGAGTATATAATATAAGTATAGGTCTGTAAGAAGCGAGTAACCAAGGGTAAAAAGGAAACTTTTTATGTAATTGTAATTGCATAAAAAGTAAAAATAATAATTCATGTGTAAGAATATAAAACACAAATTGCACGCTAGATATATTTAAGAAATAATGGCAAGTCACTTTCGCTAATAAATGTTAATTAGACATTTTTTGGAAAATAACTATGAAAAGTAGAATTTAGGTTATTAAAATGAAGTGGATGCATGTTTCAAACCGTAGATATGTTTTCTTAAATATAATAGTATAGGTTCAATTCTTAAAAACATAAATATTTCAAATAGTTTAATTTGGAGCTTTGTGTAAATTATTGTTTAAGCTTTAGGTGGTCGAGGGATTTATACCTTCTACTCATTGAAAGTAGCTTATTTTGCATATCTTAAGCAGCTCCATCGTTTGGCAGATCTGCTGGGGGGGGGGGGGATCAAATGGTGACACTTACAGAGAGTGAACAATACATGAGAAAAAGAGTTGTGCATATCATCAGTGATAAAGGTAAAACACTAAATTGATTTATGCAGAATCACAAATTGTTGACAGCTTACTTTTTGTGGAATTTATGTTTTAAGCTGATACAATGCAGCTTAAACTGGACATGTTATTGCCGATTATAAACTTTACCAACATTTGAAGTTACAAGCTCAAACCGTGAAGATTGAATTCTATTATTTCAAGAGACATATAGTTCAATTTAGTGTTATATAGATATATGGGTACTGTGCTGTGTAAAAATGTATATATGGGTGATTATAAATTGTAACAAAATGGGATGTTTACAAGTTCAAACAGTAAAGATTGAACTCTGTGAATACACTTCAATTTAGAACTATAACAACTCACTTTTAATCTCAGCTCCATAAAACATGTATAATTATAAAATAATGTCTTAGAATAGATATATCTATGATTTACAAAAAATCTACGGAGTATCAAGCATTATAACACTTTTACATGATTTCATATTACATATATATTACATACAACGTATATTACATATGAACTAGATTAATATTGTTATAGATACTATAGTAGTTAATTAATTACTATAGTTAGTACCTTTCATTATATGTAAGCAGAGTAATAGACGTGTGTCAGTGTAAACCCTCCATTTAGAACCTTTGATTGAAAAGAGATTGTCCATGCATGAATACTAATTAAATTTTAAATAATGATATCTTCTAGAGATTACCCATGTAGATTATTTTGAATTCAAGACTCAAGCTTTAACTGTGCTCAAGCCGCCGTATAGAGAAACCGAAATAGACATGCACCACCTAGGTCTAAATATGAAAGGGATAGAAGTTTGGCATAAATTAGGGGATCAATTGGGAAAATACCGGAACTAATCAATATAGATAACGAGAATGATGGAGGAATACCGGGACTACGGAAGGTCGGAAGGTGACTATTGAGAAGGGCGGATTGGCCGAACCGCCGAAGGGCCGGTAAATGGCGGAGTGCAGGCGACCGGGTGACGGGCGTGAGGCGAGAAGGAGACAACTGATGAGACGTGCTGCCGTGCTGCGTCCTGGAGCTGGCCGGCGGGAGACGCCGTGAAGTGAGTCGGCAACTTAGCCGGGCGTTGGACACTTCGGCCGTTCAAGGAGACAGATACTACCTCCTTGACATAAATATTCTCACTTTCCTTTTTTGGACGTAACACTAATATCTTCTCATTTCTAAATCTTCCCATCATACCCTCAATAATTTTAAAAATAATACACTATTACACCTACTTTTTTTGGATTTATCCTTCATTCCATCACATTATTTCACCATCTTCCCATCATACCCCTAATAATACATATCTCCTTTCATTATTCTTAATCTACTTACTTTTCAAATGGGAACATCCCAATGTTAGGGAGGGAGGTAGTACTAGATGTCGATGAGTTAGATCCAATTTTGTCTACTTGGCTTCCTGAAGTCGAAGTACTACACTTTTGTTAATTTTGGGCTTTTGTTCAATTGGACCTAATAAACTTTAAATTAGGCTGATTTAGGGGCCCAAAAGGTTTTATTTTTTGTACCATTCTTGGTGTACACGTTTTTGTACCCATCAGTACACGCATGTGTCTGTGAGAGTTTTTTTTGTCTGTGAAGCGCGGTCCACAGACATAAGTTCGCTTGTTTTGTCTGTGGAAAATTTCACAGACAAAACAAACCAGCTTTTGTCTGTGGACCGCACTTCACAGACAAAAAAAAACTCTCACAGACACATGCGTGTACTGATGGGTACAAAAACGTGTACAAAAGGAATTTTTGTTATTTTTTTGGCCAGCGGCCCCCACCCTTGCTACCACTCGGGCCGAGTTTTGTAATTCAATTTCTACTATGGGTATTGAAGAACGAATTTTTTTTACACATGTCTATTTAAGTTAAGTTTTTTTGTCTCTACGACAAAAAAATTAAGTTGTGTTTGTAAAAGATCAAGATTATTAGAAATTAGTCAGATTAAAGAAATGACAGAATAGAGATACTAATTAGAAGGGTGCAGTTGACTGGTGAAGGGTGCAGTTGACCGAAACGCGCCTCCGAGAGACAATGGTGGTTTGTCTGCTTCATGAACGTGGAAGAAGTGTGTTGGGAAAACAAGGTGTATATTGTGCACATGGAAAAAGGAGAGTAATTGGGGGTAAAAGGATGGAAGTATATGAGCGTTTCTTTTTCCTTTTTCCTTTTTACGAATGTGTAAGAGCCTATTTTAGATTTTCGCCTGAAGTTGGATAAAAATAAGGTTTGAGAATATTGATTTACTATCACAATTTAATATTGTAAAAAAATGGACCAAGAACCCTTTTTTTATAATTTAAAGCTTATATAAGATTTTATATACTTCTAGCTATATTAAAATAAAATAGTCAGTTTGAAATAATATGCATTTTAAATTAATAGTGCGGGAGCTATAATGAGGATAATTATAAATCTAGCTGAAAAGTATACTCCATATAAAAAAAGTCTCACGAGATAGCCTAATACTACGTAGTTCTTTATGGATTATAGTAGACTGATTTCAGTCTCATTCTCGAATTTGATCAAACCAGATCATAGTATATTGGACCTGATCAAACTTAGTCAATAATAAATTCACATAGAATAGATATTTACCATATCAAATGATATCATATATAAAAAATTAGTCCTATGAAAAACATCTTTAATCAAATTTTAAAGAGGTTATATTTTAATCACACATGTTATATTTTTTCCACAGTTAAACAAAACAACGGTTTTTTTAAGGTATTTTTTCTAGACCAATACTGTGAATGTAATTGTTTTAATAATCAGCATATGGTATTCTTGATTATTTTAATAAACATAACAATATTTAGTTTCTATTTTGTTTTTAAAAAGCTTCTATTTTAAAAATATCACATATATTAATCACTGTTATGATTTGTGCGAGTGTCGTAACCAATGATCAGACAGGACGAAAGTTCTTACATGTGATTTGTAAGGGCGAAAAGGCTGAGAGACAAACAATGAATGTGATGATGCTTGCCGATCATTGGGGATGAGAAGGTTGAGAAGGCTATGCCAATTCAGCATAGATGAGATTAGGGCTCGGGAAAGTATTTTATACTTGGGTTTTGGGTTGAGTTTGGGTTGTGGGATTTTGTTCTCTAGACATGTCAACTACTAAAGAGATTTTAAAAAAAATGTTTACTGCAGAGTATTTTACATGAAATAAATTTTCATGACATCGTAAATAAATATTTTTTTGTAAAATAATCGGTATGACGGTGGTTTGATGATATTTATATGTGACATATGGAAAAAATACCACCATAACGTCCAATGTTGTATTGAAGGATGTTTTTCGAAATTTGTAAAGCATTTATAACATTCATCTTTTAAAAACTTTTATTGTGAAAATATTTTATTTATTTCTTTTTTGCTAGATGTATATTTACAATTCGTATTACTATATTACGAAATTTGAGTTCTTATGTACTAAAATTAAATTACATGTATTATTCATATTATTCAGAAACTTGCTTTTGATATGAGAATTACACTTCCCGTGCATCGCACGGTATAATACTAGTTCGGCTTTCATATGGTAGGGTGGACCGATTAGTGAGTTTTGGCTTAACACCTTTTTAAGTACTTTTCAACTTTTAAATTAAAAAGGCTAAAAATGATGTTGGGTAATAACAACATCTAATTTAAAAAAAAAACTTTTGTATCCTAGAGGTTTAGATCCACAAGGCAAATCTACAATTTTAAAAACGTGATTAGACATGATGGAATCAATTTCACTCTTGATAGCCTCTAGCCATTGTGCGGCGTCTAATGAGGACATGGTTTCTTTATAAGTTTGAGTCTCGTCGTCTAGAAGGTACACATCAAAATCGGGTCCAAAATCTTTCAATTTTCTAGCCCTTTTGTTGCGTCCCACTTCACATTCTTGCGCTATTTCGTTGTTATCTTTTATAGATATCGAATCAAACAGCCGTTTATGTGAGTTTGTTTCTTCAACATGGGTTGGAATGAAACCGTCCATGTCGGAGGAGACAACTTCACAATCTCCCTTGAAAGGGAATACATTCTCAAACAATGTAGTGTCTCTAAATTCTATAAAAGTATCGGCCACTATATCCATGTTATGGGATTTGTGGACAAGGAAACAATATGCACTACTATTTTGTGCATATCCAACAAAGACACAATCAATGGTCTTAGGTCCAAGTTTTATCCTTTTAGGTTTGGGAATAACTACTTTAGCTAGACATCCTCACACCTTCAAGTAATTAAAACTTGGCTTGCGCCCTTTCCATAACTCATATGGAATTTTGAGGGTTTTCTTGTGGGGCATTCTATTTAGAATGTAATTAGCAGCTAAAATAGCACTCCCAAGAGTCGTTTGGTGCACGAGAACTTACTAACATGGCATTAACCATGTCCTTTGAAGTCATATTCTTCCTTTCGTCTACTCCATTTGATTGAGACGTATAAGGAACGGTTACTTGATGAATAATTCCACTTTTCAAACAAATTGATTCAAAGGGATATTCATACTCACCGCCTCTATCACTCCTTAGTGCCTTAATCTTCTTACCAAGTTGATTCTCAATTTCGGCTTTATAATGCTTAAAAGCATTAATCGCTTCATCTTTGCTTATTAGCAAATACAGATAGCAATATCTAGTGCTATATCATCTATGAAAGTGATGAAATACCTTTTCCCACATCTAGTTTCTTCATACTTAAGATCGCATAGATCCATATGTATGAAGTCTAGTGGTTCTGTGTCTCTTGTGATAGTTTGAAAAGGGTTTCTAATCATTTTGGCTTCCACACAAACTTCACACCCATGATTAGGATCAATATGACACTTAGGCAATAAATTTAAATGCATAAATCGTCGCAAAGTATCATTATTGACATGTCCTAACTCCTAATATAGCATGCCAAATAGAAGAAGACTCAACCAAATAAGAAAACCCCACTTTATTATTATTCACAACTTTGGGTATAACAGTAAGTACATTCATTTTGAAGAGACCATCATTGAGATAGCCCTTCCCTATAAGCATATCATTTTTAGTAAGTACAAATTTATCAGCCACTGATAAGTCCGTATTTAGACACGCATTTTAAGCGTGTTGGGATCATCTTTTGATGGTTATTCTAGCTTTAAGGTGTTGCAAGTCTCAATTTTAGCTCAAGTTATGTTTACCACACGTTGGTTCGAGTATTGTGTCATTTGGAGTCAAAATCGGGAAATTAGAGCCCGACATTGGCGCTTGAGAAGCAATCAAAGAGAGTTGGAGAGCGTTCGAGAAAGATTTGAGAGTTTTGGAGGTCACCGGAAGGTTCACGACGAAGATTTGATGAAGAAAAGGCATTTGGATTGATCAAGGAAGCATTCGGGAGCATTTGGAGCGATAAACAAAGAGAAACGTTGAAGAAAAGGCTCAGCATGGCCGTGCCCAGCCTTAGGCACAATCGTGCTTTCAGAAGAAGCTTCTACCTGTTCGCTAGAATGGCAGGCACGCCGTGCCTGGCCCTTAGGCACGGTCGTGCCTGATGAAGAATGAGGTACCAACTCGCTGAAATTGCCAGGCAAGTCGTTACCAGCCATAGGCACGGTCATGCCTGAAGAACAAACTCTTACCCGATCTCTAGAAAGCCAGGCACGGCCGTGCCCAGCAGGGAGGCACGCCGTGCCTGGACGCAAAAACACGTAAGTGCACCGCAGACACGGTCGCAGGCACGCCGTGCCTGACCCTGTTTTTGTCCTATTTCAGCCCAAACTCATCTGTTTTCTATAAATAAGGCCTCCATTCTCCTGTTTATGGGTTACTAACATTACAGAGAGGCCTATGGACGAATTTATTTGTGTTTTTCCGTTGTTTTCTTCAAGACCCTGAGATTATTTGTAAGTTCAATCTTTTTAGTTAATGACAATTAATTCTATGAGTTTTTGCCATTTTTGGTCCCTCGACTATTATGTCAACTACATTTTTGGTACTCGACTTCTAATTGTTCCATTTTTTGTCCTTGACTATTGTGCTAGAGACACTTTTAGTCCCGACTTCAAGGTTTCCCACATTTAGTCCCTGAGTATTGTCAAATTGACACTTTTAGTCCTCCCATTATGATTTTGACACAATAAGTGGAGGACTAAAAA